GGGGGGGGGAAGAAGAAAAATGAAGTTCCAGCGGTCAGCCCAAGCCCAGGCAGGGAGTGGGTCCCAGCAAGTCGGGCTGGCCCGAGGGTCAGTTCAACCCGAGGTCCAAAACGAGGGTTACTCTTAAGCAACTCCACACATTTGCCCTTAGAGCAACTCCACCCATTTGCCCTTAGTCATGGCAAGGGGGGGAGCTAGGGCAGCAACTATTCATGTGAATAGTGGTTGCCCATGCAAATAGTATATTTTGTGTTTCCACCCGTTGCCATGGCTAAGGGCAATTACTATTCAATTTTTTGTTTTTTTCACAAATTTTTTTACCTCAATAATTAATTCGGATAATATTTTCGGTAAAGAATTAATTTTGAGAATATTTCGGATAAGATTTCTTTTAATTATATTTTGTTTGATGTATTGAATGTGTTGAAAATTTTGTGTAGAAAATGAAAAATAATAGAAGGAGAAGAAATTATAAGAGGATTTTGTGTTGAAAATGACGAAGAATGGTAGGTATTTATAGAAAAACAGGTCATAACTTTTGGGTGAATTTTTAAATAATTATTCGAATTTTTTTGACATTTTTTTTGTAGATTATTTTCAATTTTTTTTTGTTATCTCAATCGGATAAAATTTTGGTATTTATAGAAAAAAAAAATCAGTAATTTTGTTTTTTAAAATTCAATTTTTTTTCATTTTTTTATTGCCAAAAAATTGGCTGCCATTGGATTGGAGAAAAAAATTTGATCGGAGAGCCCAGAGCGCGGCATGTGGACTTTAGCAGCATTGTAGCACATGGAGCACTGTAGCGCGTACTGTAGCGCTAACATCGCGTATGACGTCATCCAACCCGCGAGTTGGACCTCGGGCTGAACTGGCCTTCGGGCCAGCCCGACTTGCTGGGACCCGCACCTTGCCCGGGCTTGGGCTCACCGCTGGAAGCTCCTTTTTTCGGTTTTCTCCCCCCAGCCTTGGGCTAGGCTCATGGCTGGAACTGCTCTTAGCCATGGCAAGAGGGGAGCTAGGGCAGCCACTATTCACGTGAATAGTGGTTGCCCTTGCAAATAGTATTTTGTGTTTCCACCCGTTGCCATGGCTAAGGGCAATTACTATTCATTTTTTATATTTTTTTCACAAATTTTTTTACCTCAATAATTAATTTGGATAATATTTTCGGATAAGATTTCCGGGTTCCTACGTGTCAAGACTATTCATAATTGGATAAAATTTCCGGATAAGATTTTTGGGTTCAAATTTCGGATGAATTTCAAAATTCAAATTTCGGATGAATTTCAAAATTCAAATTTCAGATGAATTTCAAAATTCAAGTTTCAGATGAATTTGGGTTCAAATTTCGGATGAATTTCAAATTTCAGATAAGTTTTCTTCCAATCAAATCAAGCCACGTGGCATCTCTATCTTGCCAAAATTTTCTATAAAACCAGAGGCTCAACTCATACCTCTCACACCACATGTTTCTATATTTTCATTTCTCATAGTTTAGAATTCATACTCCATTCATTCTCAATAGAAGATTTTAGGAGATGCTTGGAGAGGCAAGGGCGAGAAAGAAATGAGAGAAACCGTAGAGCAGATGAAATCAATGAGTTGCAGAGACAAGTCGATGAACAAGTTGTCATAGCAGTGGCTTTGCAAGATGAAGAGAACCAAGGTCGCCGCCGTGGTTCACAAGTCGGCCGCTGCCGGAATGTGGACAGACATAGGCATTCTCGAGGTAAGAATCTTTTGGAAGATTATTTTATCCCAACTTTTTTGTACTCTAATGTTGATTTTCAAAGGCGATTTAGAATGCAACCCCATTTGTTCAATAAAGTTATGCATGATATTTGCAATTATGATGCATACTTTGTTCAAAAGTGTGATGCTGCTGGGGTTTTGGGACTTCTTCCGGAGCAAAAGCTTACAGTTATTATACGAATGTTGGCGTATGGAGCATCTGCTGATCAGGTGGATGAGGTTGCCCGGATGGGGAAGTCAACTACGTTGGAGGCTTTGGTAAGATTTTGTGATGCAGTTGAAACTCTGTACACTAGGGACTACCTGCGTAGACCTACGCCAAGGGACCTCCAACGGCTTCTACAAAAAGCCGAAGCTCAAGGATTTCCAGGAATGATTGGCAGCATCGACTGCATGCACTGGCAATGGAAGAATTGCCCAACTGCCTGGCAAGGTGATTACGGAAATAGAAAAGGCCAAAAAAGTATCACCCTTGAAGCCGTTGCTGGCTTCGACACATGGGTTTGGCATGCCTTCTTTGGAGTTGCTGGATCCCAAAATGACCTCAACGTGCTGGGTCAATCCCCGGTCTTCAACGAGTTTTGAGAGGCCAAGGCCCCAATATCACCTATCAAGTCAACAATACAGTCTACCATATGGGGTATTATCTAGCTGACGGCATCTACCCGAGGTGGACCACATTTGTCAAATCCATTCCGAATCCCCGATCCAAGAAGCAAAAATTATTTGCTACCTATCAAGAAAAATACAGGAAAGATGTCGAAAGGTGTTTTGGCATCCTTCAAGCTCGGTGGTTGATTATTCGAGGTGCAGCCCGTATGTTTGATGAGGAGGTCCTCAGAAGCATTATGATGACTTGCATCATCCTCCATAATATGATTGTGGAGGATGAGTATGATTATGAAGTTGCAGAGGTCTACGAATCGGATCCCATGAACACGGCCTTGACATGAATTTATGAAAGGCCCATGGGGCCAAGTGGAGAACCGTTTGAGCCGGACCCATTGGTTAGGGATGGTCATTTCATGCCCCATATGATAGATCGATATGTAGAGATGCAATCTTCGTATATTCATGAAAGGCGTCAACTTGACTTGATGGAGCATGGATGGGCGGTGAAAGGCAATGAAGATGAATGATGGAGCATAGATGCTTTGGTTATGTTTTATTTAGTTATGGTTTGGTTATGTTGTTTTTTATTTATTATGGTTTGGTTGTGGTTTGTTATTATTATTGTGCCTTGTTTGTAGTTTTTTTATTTTAATTATGTTTTGTTTGATGTATGGAATATGTTGAATAAAAAGGTCTTTTATTGAATGCTTTGTTTATTAAATAAAGAAATCCAATACAAGTCATTAAGAATTAGTACTACTAAAATAAAAAACATGAATTACAACAACTTTAATAGAAAACATGAAAAATACAAATACATAAAAGGTATGCCAACTAATTTAATGGTTTTCATCATTTAACCAATCCGTGTTGCTAGGCCCATCATCTTGGAAAAGTCTTTTTCTTCTCATAACATCCCTGCGTTCTAGCTTCCAAAATTGTTTTGTTTCAGGGGACATATAGCTTGTATCCATCGCCATGGTTTCCCAATCCGTCTTCTCCCTGTCTTTTTTGCGCAAATAATCCCTTTCTCGTGAAAACTCGGCTTGAATTGCCATCTCGTTATCTTGGCGTTTCTGCTCCATTTCAATTCTTATGGCATTCTGCCTTGCAATTTCCTCCAAAAACTTTGAATTATTATTGCTTGAATTACCCGCTTTCTTTGCCTTCGCAGCCTTTCGGCCAATGGGCCTCGGCTCCTTTTCGATGGGTGAGTCTTGACTCATAGGGGAATCAAGAGGTGAATCTGATGTCGTTGAATCACGAAGTGGCACCTCGTTTAACATAACGTTGGGACCCGTGGGAATAATTATGAAGCGTTTGCAATATTTCACCACCTCCCAACATTCATGATGGTTGAAACTTTTTTTGCCACCCCCGGTTGCACCGAACCACATCTGTGCTTGAATCATCTATTTAACAAAAAAAAGGAAATGCAAGAAATATTTAAAATATATTGGATATGCAAGTAACAAAAATAATAATAATGGAAATGCAATTAACCTTACAAATAAATTGGAAGTGCAAGAAATATTAAGAAACAATTGGAAATGCAAGAAATATTAACAACATATTGAAAATGCAAGAAATATTAACAAAATATTTAAAATGCAAGAAATATTAACAAAATATTGAAAATGCAATAAATATTTAAAAAATATATATATTAGGGCATTAAACTTAATAAAACGAAAATTACAAAATACTTACCTCGTTAGTACGATTTTCCCCGCTTCTATAGTTGTCCATCGCTTTGGACAAGGCATCTCTCCATTTTCCCAACTCTTTATTGAGAATTTTCCACCTACTAGACAATGCCATTTCCGTACGAGTCGACCCCGGAATTTTTTCACAAAATTCGGCATGAATTTTTTTCACGTATGAAAAAATTTCATCTCATTGCCTGTCACGGGACAATGGCAAACTTGGAGTCAAGCCTCACACAAGGAAACATCTTCCATGGTGCTCCACGCCCCTCCGGTTTTGATAGAAGAAGCCATTAAAATAAGAAAAAAAAATACAAGGTGAAAGAGAGGAAAATGTTGAGTAAAGAGTGAATAATAGTAGAAATAGAATAAAATGTATGAGGATTGGTGTTGAAAGTGAAGGGTATTGATAGGTATTTATAGAAAAAAAAAATCAGAATTGTCATAATTTTATTGCCAAAAAAATGCCAGCCGTTGGATTGGATTCGGAGAAGCAGATCGGAGTGCTGGGGGCGTGACACGTGGCTTCTAAATATTGGAGCTTGCGTCGCACTGACGTCAGCGTGCGCTGGTTAAATTTTTTTTTAACGTTGGCGCGTGCAATGCACTCGCCAACGGTAAAAAAAATTTAAACCGTGCAATGACGTCACGCCTGACGTCATCCAACTCGCGAGTTTGACCTCGGGCCAGCCCGACTTGCTGGGACCCACAGCCTGCCCGAGCTTGGGCTGACCGCTGGAACATGATTTTTTTGTTTTTCTCCCCCCAGCCTTGGGCTTAGCCCCTCGCTGGAATCGCTCTAAAGGCTAAGAGCGATTCCAGCGGAGCCCCCAGCCCAAGGTTGGGGGGAGAAAAACAAAAAAATCTTGTTCCAACGGTCAGCCCAAGCCCGGGCAAGGAGTGGGTCCCAAGAACTCAGGTTGGCCCGAAGGCCAGTTTAGCTCGAGGTCCAACTCGCATGTTGGGTGACGTTCGCGCTACAGTGATCGCGCTACAGTGCCGCTAAAGTCCACGTGTCGCTCTCTGGGCTCTCCGATAAGATTTTTTACTTCAATCCAATGGCAGCCAATTTTTGTGCAATAAAAAAATGAAAAAAAAATTTGAATTTTTTAATAAAAAATTAATGATTTTTTTTTTCTTCTATAAATGCCAAAATTTTATCCGATTGAGATATGAAATTTATAATAAATATTGACACATACGAACCCAAAAATTTTATCCGAAAATATTATCCAAATTAATTGTTTAGGTAAACAAATTTGGGAAAAAAAAAAAATGAATAGTAATTGCCCTTTGACATGACAACGGGTGGAAACACACAATACTATTTGCAAGGGCAACTACTATTCACGTGAATAGTGGCTGTCCTAGCTCCCCCCTTGCCATGGCAAGGGGCAAATGGGTGGAGTTGCTCTAAGGCAAAGCTAAGGCAAGGCAAGGGCTGCCACTATTCACATGAATAGTGCCAGCCTTGCCTTAGTTGGCTCCACCCTTGAAAGGCCAGGGCAAGGGCAAATACTATTCATTGTAATTTATTTTCAATTTTTTTATACTTTAAACCATTAATTAATTTTGTCAGATAATATTTTCGGTTGCCATGTGTCACTATTTATTATAAAATTATCACCTCAAATTTCAAATAACATTTTCGGATAAAATTTTCGAATAATATATTTGGTTGCCACGTGTCCATGTCAAATAAGATTTTAAGATTTTTTTAAAAAAAAAATTATAATCTCATATTTCAGATGAGATTTTCACCCTATAAAATTATGCCATGTGTCCCATGTCAGATAAGATTTTCAGATTTTTAAAAAAAATTATAATCTCATATTTCAGATAAGATTTTCACCCTCTAAAATTGCGCCACGTGTC